AGACAAGGCAGACTTTACACTCTAGCGAGATCCACTGCTGTCACACTGGGTGGCCTTTGCCAGAACTGAGCGAGGAGCTCGAGTTTCTGAGAGGTGAGGTCTCAGAGACAGAAATGGAAGCCAGTGCTGGGAGACAAAGCATCTAATAAGAGATTCTGGAGTTACAAGTCCAAGTGGATAGAAAAGAAGCAACCAGGTCTGGAGTCTGAGCCTGGGAAGAAGTGAGTGGGAAGACGTGGATTTGCTACCCTTCGCTGTAGCCCTTAGAGTTCCTTCCCTTCACACTCACCTGGGTAAGGGATTCGGCCATGGGTGACAATCTCTGTCAGCAGGATCCCGAAAGACCACACATCTGACTTGATGGTGAAGGTCCCATAGTTAATGGCTTCTGGTGCTGTCCACTTAATGGGAAATTTGGCCCCTAGAGGGAGGCAAAGTTAGGTCACCTGTGGTGTTTCCTCTGCTGCAGGCTCTGAAGCCCCTCTTTACCCGGCACCTACCCTCCCTGGCTGTGTATTCATTGTCCTCGATGAGGCGGGCGAGGCCAAAGTCCGCAATCTTGCAGCTCAGTGTGTCGGACACCAGGATGTTGGCAGCACGCAGGTCACGATGGATGTAATTCTGCTCTTCAATGAATGCCATGCCCTCCGCAATCTGCAGGCCAGGAAGAGGTCATCAGTCTTTACCAAACCGACCGGTAGCCAAACCCAGCCCTTGGCCATTCTCCTTACCTGGGCTGCCATGTCCAAAAGTTTGTTGATGTTCAACTTGATGCCCGAGGGAGTCTTGAGAAAATCTACAAGGCTCCCTGTGAGCAAAAGCAAGAACTGGTGACCTAAATTGCCCTGGAGGAAGTTCCTGGACTCTTCTACTCCATCCACAGGACCGAGAAAGAGTATGTGCCCGAGGGTGGGGGTGGGATGCTCAGCCTATGGGAAGGCCTTTGCCAGAGAGCTAGGATGGGGTCTGGGTGGAGCATCCAAAGGCTTTCCGCCCTCAGTTAAGGTAGAGCCCCCGTTCCACAGCAGCCAGAGCCCTGCATGCTCCACGCCTGTATCTTCTACTATAGACACGTCTTTCTCGCTCTATCACAGATCATTTTTAGAGCCTTTACACAGGCATCATCTAGACTCCTTAGTCTCTTTGCTTCATCTTTTGTCTCCTAAAAGTTTCTCCTTTTCTTTTCCAGACCAGCTGGACCACTCTTGTAGACTCTTCCTACCAGGCATCATAAATTGTTTCACCATTTACATGCCCGGAGTATTTAGGAACGTCCCCAAGTCACAAACTCTACTTTTCTCAGTGTCCATTATCAAAATGCGGTTTCAGCTGAGTATGATGGCACACATCTTTAATCCAGCATCCAAGACGCAGAGGCAGGAGGTCCTCGGTAAGTTTAAAGCCAGCCTGGTCTATGTAATCTAGGCCAGCCAATGCTGCATGGTAAGACCCTGTCTCCAAAACCAAAAAGTAAATTAATAAAAACAAAACCCTGTACAAGAATGACAATCCTGGGGCTGGAGAGTTGGCTCGTGGTCTTACGAGTGCTTGCTTTTCCAGAAGACCCAGGTTCGGTTCCCAGCACCCATGTCTGTGACCACTTGTAACTATAGCTCCAGGGTCTGTGATGCTCTCTTCTGGCTTCCCCAGGCACTGGAATGCATGTATACACACACACACACACACACACACACACACACACACACATAAAAAAGAAACTACCGCCAGTTGGTGGCAGTGCACACCTTTAACCCCAGCACTTGGGAGGCAGAGGCAGGCGGATCTCTGAGTTTGAAGCCAGCCCCATCTACATAGAGAGTTCCAGGGCACAGAAACCATGTCTCAAAAAAAGAGAGAGAAAAAAGAAACTACCAATGACAAAACCTATTTGCCATTTCCAGAACTCATTAGCCAATGAACAGTTTGTTTCCCTTCCTGAAAGATGGACAGATTTTGCACTCCAAACAATCTGGACCACATAAAAACAACGAAGGACAGGTACTGTTTTCTTCCATCCATTAGTGCGCCACTACCCTTGAATTACACGTATTTATGCATAGGGGCGGCGCATGCCTGTGCAATGCATGGAGATCAGAGGACAACTTGGGGGAGTCAGCTCTTTACCTCCATTATGTGGATTCCAGGGATTGAACTCCTGTTTGCACGTCCTGGTGGCAAACACCTTTACCTGCTGACCCATCTTGCTGGCCTTAACACTATTTTACAGATCAAAGAGAACTACTTGAAGCAGAAAGAAATGATGTGCTCAACCCAAAGTGATACAATTATAAAGCACCAACTCTATCCAGGCAGTCAGACTCTTGGATCCTTAATGAATATACTATATATTGGGGCTGGCTGCTCTTCCAGAGGACCTGGGTTTAATCCCCAGCAACCACACAGTGGCTCACAACCATCTGTATTCCAGTTCCACGGCATCCCACACCCTCTTCTGTCCTCTTCAGGTACCAGGCACCATATACTATTTCTTGGATCAAGCATTCTGAGATCCAGGTAGACATTGGAAGAAGGCAAAAGAAACTGCAGATGAAAGGAGATCAGAATGAATGCTCTTCCAAAGTCTGTCCCATAGGGGCCCTGGAAAGTTTCCTTAGAAACCCTCAGTAGCAGAGCAGAGGAAAAAGCACATTCCTACCCTGAGTGCAAAAGACAGTGAGACCACAACAGCGTCCTCACGCGACTAGACGCAGCAGGGACACCCACCGTTCTCCATGTATTCAGTGATGATGTAGATGGGCTCCTGGGTGACCACTGCATAAAGCCGGACCAGCCGCTGGTGCTGCAGCTGCTTCATGAGGTTAGCTTCAGCCAGGAAGGCATCGGGCGACATGCTCCCCTGCTTCAGGCTCTTCACGGCCACCTTCGTGTGCCCGTTGTAGTATCCTGGAGGTGGGTTGCGGGTGAAGGAGTGGCAGTAATCCTCAACTAAGTCAGCTGCCCTGAAGAGGCGCCAGTGTCTCACACCTTGGAGACATCTCCTCTCTTTCCAATCAGTCCTGAGGGCCAGCCACACTCACCCATCCACACTTCGCCGAACTGGCCAGCTCCCAGCCGCTCAACCAACTTCAGTGTCTCCCTGGGAACCTCCCATTCGTCCTCCCACCATGGCTTCTGGGGCTTCTGGGTCTGGCAAGGTCGGCTCAACTTTGTGCACAGCCCATCAGAAGCGTCTGCAAAGACAAAGGGGACCTTGGGTGCTCCCTCCAGCCCCCCGCCCCGCACCTCTCTCCACGTTCCACGCAGGGGAAATGGACGGGCGTGGAGGGGAGTCTGTCACCCAACATGAGCCTGCAGGGTCGAGGGTCAGGTACTCCCGACGGTTGGAGGGTCCCTAGGAAGGACTTGGGGGGGAAGATAGGCCGCTAGGGTGGGCACACGTGAAAGCGTTCTGCCAGAGCTCACTGGTGTAATGGCGGACCAGTTCGTGCAGTCCGGGAAAAGTGATACGAGGGGAGATGTAGAAGCCACCGTTGTCTAGGTTACGGATCTTGTAATGTTTCACCACTTCTCCCTGGTTCTGGTCGAAGTCTCTGACCGACAGGGAAAAAGATCCTGAAAAACGATTGGAGAGGGGAGGAAGGAGAAGAGGAGGAGGTGAGAAGTGAAAGAGGAAAAAAGAGGGGGTGGGGAGGTTGCCTTCGGTAAGTCAGGTGGCCACCGCACCGCTTCCCACAGCTCTCCACCCCCCACACCTCCTCACCGGAGGCCGCAGCCCTCCACTCGAAGCCCCGCCCACACGCCGAAGCCCCGCCCACCAGGCTCGGACTCTCACCCGCGGTGCTTTCACTTTCCCGGATCAGGAAGGATCCGTGCGTGTTCCCGGGCGCCAAAAGCTGCCGCTCCGCGTCCTTACGGCTCAGATTCTTGAAGAACCAGCTACATAGGGCAGAAGCAAGACTTTGGGCTGTTGGTTGACTTTTTTTTTTTTTTTTTTTAAATCTGTGTAGCCCTGGCTGGCCTCGAACTCAAAGATCTGCCTGCCCCTGCCTCCGGAGTGGTGGCATTAATGGCATGCGCCAACAAGCCTGGCTTGTTGGCCAATTCTTCCTCCATCATTGTCAACATCCTCCACCCCCATGACCACGCCCTGCTCTGAGATCCCTAGATGTCTTCCCCCATCCCCATGCGGTCCCCTGCTCACGGTTCAGGCTCCAGGCTGTTTGCTTTCGCCACGAAGTTGAAGGGGATGAAGCCTTCTTGGCCGGTGGTCAGAGACTGAGCCTTCCACCACTCACCGCTCCTGTGTGTGCCACAGAGACCATCAGCATGGCCTGCATAGCCACTGGAAACCCTCAGAGTCCTCGGTTAGGCCAGGCCACCACCACTTCCTGGTACGAGCACTCCAGTGCTTTACGCGCACACACACACACACACACACACACACACGCACACGCACACGGCAAGGTCGGTTAGAGGGATACTCACTGCTCCAGGATTCGGAGCTGTTCACCCTTCTCAAAGCCCAGGTCTCCATCATGGGAGGGCTCATAGCTGTGCAGGGCGATAACCAGGTTGTCTGGAAAGACAGGAGGAGTCAAGAAGAACCAGCCTGGGGCTGACGGGAACAGTGGAGATCTAGAGGCGCAGGGCAGGATGCAGACAAGGTGGAGGGTAGGTGGAGAGGGTTTGGACACCAACAGCCAGGCATACACAGGCTTTAAGCTTCACACCCTGCAAGATGGAGTCACCTTGTAGAGGGGAGGCTGGTGGGATGGAGCCCTCATAGGTGACCAGTGGGTCCCGAACTTCAGAGCCGTTTCGGATGGGCAGCTGTGGGGTAGGAAATAAGGCTGGGGTCATTTTCTCTGACCCTGGTTCCCTTCCTCTCTGCTCACTCTCCATTTTTCCAGCACCAATTATGTGTGCACTTGACCTTAGGAAAGTCTGTTCTCTCTAGACCTCTTTCTGTACTCCAGGGAAGATGGGTGTGCTGTTAACTTCCAGGGCCTATAGTTGTGATCATTTATCTTTTCTCCAAAGCCTGCCTTCACCATCCCTTCCCCCATCCCACCTTACCGTAGTCTTGCTGTCCAGTGGTACTATGGGATAATGGCAGTTTTCACACACGTCAATGTTCTCCATCCAGTCATCTTCAGGGTTTGAGCTGCAGCCACAGCCCATGTTCCCTGCAGGAATGGAGAGAGGCTTGAAGGAGCTCCCCAAAGTCGGCTCCCCCGACATCAGACATCCTAGAGCACTGCCCTGGAGTTACAGAACGCCTTAGATCGTCCGCTCTGGGGCTCCCATGGCCATGGACAGAAGAGCTGAAATGTCGAATTCCAGCTCCTGACTCTTCCACTCTGAGCCCTCAAGCAACAAGTAAGTTCACCGGAGGGAGGCCCAGGCCCAAGGCTAGTTCCCACCCTCCCACCTGGGATGGGTAAACTGCCACAGGCACTTTGTTAGTGTAGTTACCCACTTCCTGCCTCCTCAGCCTGCTGGTCCCCCCCCCTTTGGGGGATTACCTGGAAGATATCACACATTTTGCCAAGCCCTGGGGGAAACCTAAATTTTGATTCCACCCTCCTCTGCCAAGGAGGGTTCATGTCTCTTCTAATTACAACTCCCCTGCCTGGATACTGAAGCTGAGAGACTGCTGTTCCTTAGAGTCAACCTTTGACCTCTGCGGCCCCCAGCACCCCACCCCCACTCACAGCACAGAAGGTTTCTTCTAACATGCTTTTGCTTCTCACCAGCAGAAGGAAACCCTTCAGTGGCCCTGATGCCTGTAACAGCTTTTGCTTGCCTGTCTGTCTGAGCTGTGGAAACTTCTTGTCAAATGAAATCAGGCAGGACCTCACAGATACAGCAAGTACAGTAGAACTGTTCTTAATCAAGTCAGAGTGGGCCTCCCTCCAAAGCCTCTGGAATCCACGTGGACCTCCTTCCCTGAAGTTGTTCCTCAGAACTGCTTGGAAAGCACTGGTCCTCAAAGAATGATTTACCATGAGGAGGAAACTAAAATGTTTTTTTTTTTTTTCTTTTTAAAGATAAGGTCTTACTTATGTAGCTGTGACTGGCCTGGAGGCCTAGAACTCACTATGTAGACCACTGTAGACAAGGCTGGCCTCAAGTTTGCAGAGATCTGCCTGCCTCTGAGTGCTGGGGATTAATAAAGGTGTAGAATATCATGCTTTTGACCATTTTGATTGATATTAAGGAAGACCTACTCTTTCAGGGTTTTTTGTTTTTTGTTTTTTGTTTTTTTAAGTCTTTCAGCCTCCCCCCGCCCCCCTAAGACAGGGTTTCTCTGTGTAACAGCTCTGGCTGTCCTAGAACTTCCTTTGTAGACCAGGCTGGCCTCAAACTCACCGAGATCCACCTGCCTCTGCCACACCAGTGCTGGATTAAAGGAATGTGCCACCATCACCCGGCTCAGT